CTTAAATTATATTCTTGACATAATTGAGGATCGCACGTGCTTGTTGAAATTATTATGAGCCGACGAGAATTTTGGACTCCAATTAGACTTACACCTTAAATATGGATAATTGTCCACTGGCCACTAATTTAAAACATCCCGCCACAAATCGCTTACTGACTTACATATAAGAAATCAATTTAAGAGCACTCTGACAGTAATGACGATTTTGTATAGAAGTTAATTAACACTTAATTGGTATGTCTGGTTGCGATGATTTTTGAGTACAAATTCTTGAGATGTGAAGTAACATTGTTGTTGGATTCATTTCTGTAAGAGATTGTTTTAAAAAAGTAAAGTTTGTTAAATAAGTTTTATCACAGATCTGTTATTTCTTTCGTCTATAGATCAATTGTAATAAGTATAGAGATAAATGTTATAATTCAAGACAGAAAAAGACTTTTCCTAGTAAATTAAACATTATACTACGGTGAAGTCACAGGTCATCGAATTTTCTATCATATTTCTAATTAGAATATACGTTCATGAAAAAATGCGGCAGTGAAATATTTTAGATGACACATAAATATTTCAATAGCACGATTAAAAAGGAAAATAATTAAGGAATCTCCCTAATTTCGGGAATCTTTTCTTGTTTGCATTTGTACTAAATATAAACCCAACTGGTTACATTTAATTCTAGGTATTTCTGTAAGCTAATACAATATTAAAATTAAGCAAAATAAAATAAAAACGTCAATTGATGAATAGCTATTACTTTGATAAATTAAATATTCACTACGATAGCGAAAAGGGTAAAATAAAGCTGACAACACATATCGCGCGAAGTTTGCAAAGAGAATAAATAAGATTCAACGCTGCGCTTACACGGAGCATCTACGTGCTGTACGGTTCCCGAGATATTTATTGTAATGTACGACATTATCGTAAACAAATATAGATATGGGATGCTGTAATAACTTTCAATACGACTTCGAACAAGTGCCTTTTGTTATTAAATATAATTAACATTATTTAATAACATTTAGCTAACAAATCGAATAACAGCACTCGAAGCTTTACATTCTCTATAAATATACACGTTATACTATTAGCAGTATATTTGTGCGTGTTACGTGCATTTTAATAGAAAGGAATGTGAATTAAATATGTTATGTATTATGCGATTGGTTTAAATTGTTTATTGCTTCGGTACAACACTTTGTTTTTTTTTGTGTGTGCTTCAATTTTTTTTACTTTATTGAAACATTGTAAGTTTAAAATTAAGAGTAAAAATGTTTTAAACTACGCTACGCTAATCGCTCGGGGCGTACCTAAAACGTTAATCGCCGGTGAGTCCACTCAGACCAGTCGCGTGGTTGCCAGCTATTAAAAATGTGTTTGCTACTAGAGTAGGTAGCCAATAAATAACACGAATTATACAGTGTGGTAAGCGAATGTGTGATATATCGTGGTACGAGCAACGTCGCTTGGTGTCAGCAGAAATTATACGAACGAGATGTTTGTACTTAATGTTACTAATGCCCGTAAACACGAGTCTTTTATTTTCGATTGTTATTTCGTAAATGATAGGGACGCCTATGCGAGTTATTGCTGAAAGCAACACTTTATAAACAGCGAATGCGTCGCTCGATGTTTGTCCTGATGACAATCAAAATCTGTCAGTGTCTCCGTGTACAGTCGTGTCATTAATAAAGCTTGTATTCTGTATAAAGGGAAAATATTTTTAATGTTAAATTTACTTTAAGTTTACGCGAAATAATAATTTTTCTTTATATTGTATGTTGTTAATAATGACTTTTAAGATTGACTCATTGGCGGCGTATCGGATGGCAATGCGTAATTGATACTGCAGATATTTTTTTTAAGTCATTGAGTGACAGGATAATTACGACGGTCTACTGAAAATACCGTAGACTGAATAATCAATACGGAGTCCATTAAGAGCGTCGTAATGTAATAATTAAGATGATTTCTTTATTCTGATATTCATTTAATTTAAAGCAGGATTTTAATCAATTATTAAGCTTAATTTTATATTTTTAATCGGACCTTATTAAAATCTATTTGATTTTTTTTACATTTTCGTAAATGTATCATATTTTTAATTGTTTATTAATTTACAGTTATAAAAATATTATAAAGACTTCGTACAAATTCCGATTAACTATATCACACATGTAATCGATTGGGAAAGTAATTTAAAACCAAACGCTTAAAAAATTATAATATTCATAGAAACAGTTTCATTCAATATGGACATGCTTGAATTATGATTTGACTATCAAAACTCCGCCACCTCCAACCATTTCGCTTCGATTGCTAATTGGTTATCTTATTCGCTACTGCTCGAATCGATTAAGTTAATCACTTTCTCGGAATCGAGAAGTGTTAAAATCGATTCTAATAAACGGAATCTATCTTTAGTTTTGATTGCATATTTACATAATAAAAACACTATTCAACTTAATTTCCTTGTAATTTGAAACAATCATTTTTGATTTGATTAATATGGGATCGTTTACAAATTGGTCGTTAAACGATTTTTCTTATTAAAACCAGATTTCAATATTTACAATCGTTAAGGAAAGTAAAAGGTTAAAAAGCATGAATCATTTTTCTTTCTTTTTACTTACCTCGACCATTTTAACTCCGGTCTTCACGCGTTAAAAGAAACATTTTCTACCAAAAATCTGTGTAACAAAAAACGTAAAATTTTCCTTTCAAAAATCTCTCATATTTTAAATCTAAAAATAATGCCATCTTCGGGCGCTTTTGGAAAACGTATCATTGGGGTGGAACGTTGTATCGATTTTAGTTCCATAGCCTAGGGGTTGAAAATAGATGGCGCCAGTGTGTTGTTTAGGGGTTGGAACAACCATGTTTTTACACGACTAGTTAAGTAATGTTTTTCGTTCAATAACGTGTTAGGTATACATTTTTATTCACATTCATATTTCCCTGATATGTCGTTAGAAGACTCAGACAGCCGTATTGCTTTTTAAAATTATAACTGGTTCCTCAATCTACGTTAAAGCTGAATCACACAAGTTACTTACGACTAAAAAAAAACGTTTTAGATAAAAAAAACCTAGTCTAAATAAATGTAACTTCCTAGTCTACGTAATTAAACTATCTAATGGCAGAGTCATAACTTTTAACATATTATTATGTACTACGAAACACCGCAAAGTCTAATTTCTGTAGGCAATAAACATTCGAATCTGAGATAAATATGCAATTTGCATAATCTTATATTTATGAATAAACAGATGTTAAGTTTCGACCAATAAATGTGAAGCCCAACTGCAAATTCTCTCTCGATCTATAAAACTGTTTATAACGGAGACCAAGCAACGATAACGTAACCGCAACCGTCCCTTAATAAGTTGCTAATGAGCTATTTCGTTACGAATATTCATGGAATTAACTTTCGTGATTCGGTTATGTTTAGTAATTTCGAGATGTAGCACAATATCGATACATTGAGAAGTGTGCCGCGCGCGCGTCTGTCGCACCTGCGCCCGACCTGCCGCAGCACCGCCGCCGCGCCGCAAGCCACCGGCCGCTCCGCACTGCCCGTCGCACCGCCGCACTACACGGCGCGCGAGCGACACGATTATATTTAGCATGCACATGTAAATAAATAAAAATACCTGTTCTGACACCAGCTCTTAACCACTCAAAGCGCAATCGATAAGTAATCGAATTAATTATTCTACGAATACGAATCTAAATGCAAAATTACATAGGCGTCGTATCAAACCCCACAGCATCTACTTAATCCGATAATCCAACACTTTAATTACTCTGCAAATAAAAATACGTCGGTCGATGGCTAGGTTAGGTGATGCGCCGCACGCACCTGCCCTAAGGCGTAAGGCTCGCATTAGTCGCTGTGGCGGGCGGCGCGGAATATAAGCTTGGAATCCGTTGATTATGACAGAACCTTAGAACCGATTGCAAGGAACATCGATAGCAACGACGCCTACTATAATTTTTACCGCATCAAAATTATAGTCTTTTAAAGCTTCAAGTCACTTTTTCAATATAGAGTATAGCTTAGGAAGAATAAAAATTTGAATAATATGCCACTTTTAAGTTATTCAAGTGAAAATACTAGGGGAAAAGTATCAAAAACAAAAGTTATAAAACACTAATAACGCAATATCACCGCCTATCCGCTTACAGCATCTATTCGGCCTAACGACTTAAATAGACGAAGCGGGCAGATCTCGTCCTCCGTACAAGGTAATGGACGGGATAATTATGCGCAACGACGTGCAACAATAGCGGCGCGAGCTCGCTGCTCTATGGCATAATAAGCGCCGCCGTATTTTGATCGGCGCGCAACTAGT